TTAAAAAATTATTCTGAAAATAAAATTGATAAATTAGAAAAAGAAGTATATAATATATTAAGAACACCTGTTATTTATAGTTCATCAGAACAGCAAAATAAATTGCTAGGTGGTATAGAAGAACAAAAAAGATAAATTATATGGAGAACAAGTTACAATATTATCTAAAAAAAAAAAGAACTCTGATGAGAGAGATTTGAACGATGGTAACAATGGTAATGAGAATAAAAATAAATATCATTCTAAATAAGGGGGGAAATAAAGGTTTTATATGAAGGAGAAGTTATTTGAAGGTTATCGCTTTATTATTGTATCTTTTTAATTGCATTTGAGCAGAATGATATTGCAAAGTTAGTAGATGATTCTCTAGATGTAGCATTCAAGTGCAGTGATACATTAAGGGAAGATGATAAGAAAAATGACAAATAAGATTATATTGACTAAAATTATGATTATGTATAGGATAATACATACTAAAATTATAAAAAATGGAAATATATACTCTTAATCATATTAATATAGAAGATTATCAAAATCAATTTTGCACAAAGTCTAATAAGTTAAAATGTGCACCAATGAAACATATTTTCCATATAATGATGACACCCAAAGAAATAATTTTATATACACGCAAGAATAATTGTAATATATAAGTGTATATTATATATGTTATATATTCTGAATAATTTTATCATAATATAATGGCTATTATGTGTTAACACATGTAAGTAATATATCATGAACATAGTATTTAAAAATATAAACGCTAAAAGATAAAATTAACGAGAAAGTATAAATATATAGATTATCTTATAAGAAATAACAACATAACATTAACGAAAACATCAAACCTAATAAATAAACGCTGAAAGAAGTATAAAAAAAAATTAAATAAGCAAATATATAACACTAATACAAAGAATATTAACGAAAAGAATGAAACATAAACTGTAAATTTAATGTGTTTTATTACATTTCTATAATTTACCACAATAAATTCAAACAACAATAAAATATAATAAAAAGAATATGTATAATATAAAATAAAATTTATTAATTTTTTTTTTCATTCAATAAAAATTAGAATTAAATATATTAAAAGTAGAAATCAACTAAAATATATATTTTTAATAATAAAGAATTTAACATACCAAATAATAGTTCAATAAATCTATAATATATATAATGAATACAAAAAAATTTCTATTAAAGCATACATATATGGAAGTGTTATAACATAAATTCTTAAACAAAATTTTTTTTTTATTATAAAACAATTCATTAAATATATATATATATATTACTTAATAATATACATATATAGAGAATAAAAATATATATTTATAGTTTATTGTCAAATTATATTCATAATGTATAACATTAAATATTCATAATATAATAAAATAAAATATATGTAACTAAATTTTAAAAAAATTAAAATTATTACATTAAAAATATATAATATATAAAAATATAAGATAACAATACAAAATTAAAACATTATTTTAAAGATCAAGTGCAAACACTCAAAGGATAAGTCTATATGATATAACTGTAGGAATGAAAGCAAAAATCAATTTCTGAAATCTCATATGTGAAGACATATCAAAAAACCATGAATTCAGTATACTGAAACTTATTTCATCAAAAGGAATGTATAATCCTGGTAATTTTTATGATTTCTTTAATACTAATTTTTTTGTTAATATTTAATGAATTAATTATAATAACCATGTACATATATTTAATTAATTATATTCTTATATAAATGTTATAACTTTTAACTGTTTTTTATTTTTTCAGAAATCAGACATCTTATACATGTAGGATGAGTTCAGGAATCGACTGGGAAAATGAGTATATAAGTTATACTGATGAATGTGAGAATTTAGATTCATATTCAGAAAATGTACATAATGATTTAGGAAAAATTAAAGGATTTTTGGATAATTTAATTAATGATAAAATAAATGGAGTTAATCTTAAAGAACAAAACTGCGATTCATTCAATAAATGGATTAACAAGAAAAAAACAGAATACATATGCAACAGAGATAATGATGAAAATCATGTAAAGGAAATTTTTCCAACACAATTTTGTATTAATACCAAACTTGATGATTGCTGTAATGTGGAATATGCAGCGAATGTGTTCAATGAATCATCATCAATGAAAAGTCCACATTTGTTGTCAACAGAAAATTATGCTTTTACATATGATGCACAGAGAATAAAATCAGTTTATTCTATTTGTTTTCCGCTTTTAACAGTAATTCTACTTTTCTTTTATTTATTATATAATGTAATATAAAATTTTATTTAAGAATTAAGAAAAAGATTACAGAATTATTTATATTTAATAAAGTTTAATATTATTTTTACAATATATACATATTATATTTATTCTTAATTAATTCATTATATATAGTTTTCTAAAATAAAGATGTTTCTAAATAATAAATATTTAAAGGAACATTCAATAAAAAATTATATACAAAGCAGTTGTGCCTTTAAACATATTGAGGATTTTTTCTTAATGCCCGAAAGGAAAAGAGTTAATATACACTATCCATCTAAGGTGTAAATATAACAATAATAAATCTCAAATTATTTCATATATATATTCGATATTTTCACTAAATAGTGTTATATTAATTTATAATA